AACGATGGGAAATCGAAAAAGAATGATCGTACCTCCAGTGCATCCTGACTTATACGTCCTGTGAGGACATGCGGAAAATCGCATGATCACACAAGTCTAATGTAGACTGCAGTGTAACTCGAAGCCCTTCAGCTGTTTGTGAAGTGAGAAATAAAGCAGATGCTATTTTTCCCGGCGTGACATTAACTTCCCAGATATTCAAATCTTGAAGAGCTCCTTGAATTACCTGCAAAAGTTTCGATGCAGAATTTTTCGAGAAAAAAATATAACTCCAGTAGTTTTTATTTCAAAGTTTCATTCATGATATTGAGACGAATAATCTCTATGCAAAATCATGATTCCCAAGTTCGGGTGAATCGACAGAAATATAGAAGCAATTTCGTCGCACCTTATTATTTAGTGAATTAATTAGAAGGATGAGAATTTATTTTTCCATCGAGACCATAACAATACCAATTGATACGGTAAAAAAATATGTAAATTACTTTGTAATGGACGTCGTATTTCTGTACGCCATCCAATTCTTCAGTGACCACCTCTTCTTCTTCGTTCACCCACGAACGGAAAAACTCAGTCTCCTCACTGTCCATTAAACCAGGGGCATTTCGAAACATTCGAAGGCCAGAGGCAACTGTTTTATTGAAAACCTGAGGATAAATAAACATTTTTATTGTAGATAGATCAGAATTTTGTATTTCATGGCTTGAAATTATTGAAAATCACACAAACTTGCGTCGCCAAACGCACTCCCATTTTTGATGACTTATTTAGTTCAATATGGTCTCTTGTTAGTTTTCTGCAGAATAGATAAACTTTCCGATTCGCGTCTGTCGGATGGACAAAATAATTGCGAAATAATTCACGGCGTTCTGGATCAAGCTTTGGATTAACGTACAAAGTTGTCCAGAACTTTCGATTTGTACTGGCACCATGGATTTTAGTTAATGAGTCCATGGATTTTCGCTCCAATTTCTCCCAGCAAAATTAAGGCCTTCAGTACCAGAATAGACAACGTCTCACCTTTCACTGGTCCTTTGGAAGTGAATACTGCAATAGGTTGGGTGTAAATCAGCCAGTGGCTGAAATATAATGAATACTCCATAATCAGCCTGGTCAGAAAAGTTCACGGAATCCTTCTGCTCGTCCCCGAAGTCGACGAGTCCCTTGTACTCCAGAGTTTTGGTGCCTATAGCTATACCCTTCCTAGTTTTCATCTCATCCAATAGCAAAACCCCATGTTTTTGCTGTTCTGTTTTTGTTTGGAGAACGACTTTTCCAGAAGTTTGAAAAATGGAGGATCAAACCCACCGTGTATTGATTCTCGAAAGATATCTGAAACATGAGAAAATCAGAAGTGAATCAAATTATCCGTTAGCCAATACATATTTATATGGCTTCCTCACCTTCGAACAGAACGAGGACATGGCAGAGGCAGGATGTCATTGTTTCTCAAACTTGCATACTGGCTGGCTGAACGCATGTGCAGCAGTAGACACCATGTCATCCACTCCTCTTCATAACGTTTTCTGTTTCTGTTTTTTTGTTTGGCTGAATTAAATATTTATTTTATCACTAGTTCTTGATTTTTGGGAATTTTTCCTCCTTCTACGTCCTCCAAAAAGGTTTTGTGTTTGTAATGATTCGTTTTTTCTCTACAGTCCTTCAATTCAGATCTTGAACGGTCAATCTCTGCTTTTAACTTCCGAGTTTTCCTCTGCGCGGCTCGTAGCTTGGACATCACAGATCGCTCTTGTTTTATTCTAGTGGGTGAAACGGGAAAAGAACTTCTTTGGGCTATTACTGATTTTCTTAATCTTCCGAGTCTTTCCCAACGTGTGCCTCGCTTTACGAGATCCATTACAAATCTCAGAGTTAAATATAATCAAGGGGCAATAAATATGTCGATGACAGTCTGCTACATCTTTCATTATGGTTTTACAATTGCTTGCAGCGATTTCATTCGATTTGTGAGATCCACTGCAAATAACTGTTTTTTCTACCTTTGAAATAATATTTTGCAATGTCTCTATCGCGTCAATCTCATCGTTCGTTATTTCTAAAATCGCTGGATTAATTTTCACAACCAAAATATCGATCTGTAGCTTCAAATCTAGAGTAACATAGATCTCTTTTTCTGTGGACATCCTGTAATATGGATCAATTGCTCGAAATTTTCGATTCTCCAGGACAAAGACTCGATAGAATTTCTCACCATGGTATACGCGACTCCATCCACTCGGTAAATGGACTTGCGATGCAATATTCTCGAGAAATATGGTCTTTGAAGACACGAAATCATGATCCATGTGATTTTGGAGTCGAATTGGGGAACTCTTTCCAGCATGGTAAGATTCATCAAAAATTCCATTGTGAGAGAGAATAAGAGAGCTCAACGTGTCTTCTATTGCTTCATGTCCCTGAACTGATTCATTTGGGTCCATAATTTTGAGATTGGAAGACGAGAACCTCAGAGCGACGGTCGGGTTGGGAGATTCAGCTCGAGTTGGAGCAGTTGGTATTGTCCAGGAGGAACGGCGTACTACCCCTGAAGCAAACACAAAGTAATTATGAGGAAAAAATGACAAACAGTTTGCGGATATTGAGTGGTACTCACTACACCCAGCATTTTTCCATCTGGCCCTCGTATAATTTTTTGTGTGGATATCTCTTCTCTGGCAAGAAGTGTTTATGGCACACGAATTGTGTAGAAGGCTTCGAACCCAAATGCACAATACGGGTGGCAGCTCGCCACTGTCTTAGAGTGTTTAGATCTTTTGGAACTTTGAGGAAGTGTGCTCCTGATGTTTCAGGATTCTTTTTGGAACCAATGGAGCACTCTTCTATACCACAGATCGGCATTTTTCAACAGTCAATACCTCATAAAAACACATGGAAATTTTTGTTATGTTTTTTCAAACGTCTTAAATGATACTGTGTTGTCAACTTTTAAATTTTTCAAACGGAAAAACTCACTTGTCTGAATGTAAATCATGAGAATCAAGGTTCAAAGGTTATGGAAGAATATTAGTTCCACAAAAATCCGCACAAACACGATAAGTGGCGCCGGGACATTAACGGGGACCGGATTTTCTAAAGGAGGAATGCTGTAGTGCCACCCCCCTACCCATTAGCTTTCGGATATTATTCCGATCCTAGTAATAGGATGTCTACCTGCAACTTGCCGGGCCCTGATTTATATATTTGGATATACTATTGAAGGATGGTTTTATTAGGAATTAGGTTTTAAAAGGAGAAAATGTATTCTCAATGTTCGCACGTTTAGGGTATACGACACTGCTAAGCGTTTAGGAAGAATTTCTTTGCAGTGTGAAATTCAAACTATAACTGTATTCAAGAACAAGCGACATATGATTCCACTGACTATAAGGCATTTCAGTAACTTTAATTGATTTCAATGACAACAATTGATTAAAAAAATAACTTCAAAATCCACTTCGTTCATTGAAATCGCCTGATTTCAATGACTACGTCTGATTTTAGTGACGTCTGTTGATTGTACATCGACTTCAAAATGAATTCCCCATCCAGCGACACCATAAACTTCAAGACTGGGTGGTAATTCCGAGTGGTAGCCCCTCGGTATTCATTGACAAGTATCCTTTTCTCAAATCAAAAAGATTTCAATTTAAAAACTGACTTGATTTGAGAAATTCCCTTGTAGTTGTCAATACATTGCTCACCATTTTTCGGAGAAATAGTGAATCTCTTGACGAAAGTGTTTTCTATCACTCCGAACTATGGCCTTCCAGAAAATTTTTTCGTACAAGTCAAGAGGCACTTTTCGAAACAAATTTTTTTCTCAGTGTATATTGAGTTAATCTTACAAGTACCTAAATAGTCATTATTTCACACAGCAGATAATTGGTTCATCCATTCCGGCGTCACTCAATCAAGTTATATTAAAAGTTCGGCGATCACATCAATGTATGCAGTGCTCATAGACTGAGTGAGTCTATATACGGTTTACACTGATGTCATCGCCGAACTTAAAATCATATATGATTCCGAAGTAACAAGTGTAGTTTCCGTACCAAAGGTATATTGTCTTTCCACATGGATAAATTCCTTTGTGGAACAATGTTTCTATTTTTTTCTAATGGTTAAAACAAAGAAAATTAAAAAAATTAAAATTTCGAGTGAAAAAATCCCGGTGTACCCAGCCAGGATTCGAACCCGCGTCTCCTAGTAATTTTGCGATTTTCCATAAGTAAGGATGTCGCTGGAAAGAAAGATTTCTTTTTATACTTTCGAAGAGTCGTTTCGTGACTGAGTCATTGAAAAAAAATCATCGATTCTTAGAGCCATACTCTCTTCTTTTTTCTCCCTTCCGCAAAATTTGAAACATTGGTTCGTAGGGACCGAAGCTCGAAGAAAATAAACGCATCAATGCTGTTTGACGAAATGGTTTTTTACTCGGTCTTCAGGTCTTCTGAATTGAGTGCAGTTAATAGTATTCCCATGTTGTACATTCATGTAGAACAAAGAACGAAGAACTCTGAAGATGTAGTTTGGCAATTGAAATGAAATAATTTGCTAAAAGTTTTCTAACAAATGAACGAAATTTAGTTTCATTCAGCGCGCGATGCTTATTTATTTGTCTGTTATACAGAATATTCAACGTGAGATGCGTCGAAAGATAAGACTCTTCCGTAATAAAACTATTTTTCAGGCTCGAATATTGCGCCGTGATTGACTGAAATCCGAGATTTAAAAATAATCAATCCACTGTATGTTGACATTTTCCAAGCCTCGGCTTCTTTTGTCTGTATCATACATTCAGACATTTTCCTTCCTCACATCCCCGATAGATCCAAAGGTATATCAGTGCATTTAAGAATTTAGGCATTGTAACATTCGACTTATTACGTTATGATTAGGAGTTCTAACTTAGTCGTACCCCTTCCGTGACAGTTCCTACTCGCTAGTCCAGCCTATATAAACCCGAGACGCCACGAAAGCACCCTCACTCTATACGAGAAGACAGTGCATGTTTAAAGTCCAACGTATTTTAATATAAAGAAAATAGGTAAAAATCTACAAGACATTCTTTTCAACAAATAGCAAAAACAAATAATCATAATTTTTTCCGTCATTAATTCTGTGAAAATAGAAAGTATTCGATCGATTCCATGTCTACATAGCTCAAACGGAAAAATACAGTCGTGTTTACGTGAAATTTGACGAAAGTATTTGTCAGTGGCCAAGGACGGCAAGTGAATTAATTAATTTTTTTCCGAGGATAATACTTTGACTTCATTATAAGCTGAGAGAATGGCATGTCTGAGAGTTGTTGCTGTTCTACTTGTGTCAGTATTCTATTTCACGATTATTGATGGTGCTGCAGTTCGTACAGATGTGAGTAATTGCATTTACTATTTCCTTTTCTTTAGTTGATTTTTTTAAGGGTTCAGTATATATAAGAATTAAATTTATGGCTTTCTTTTCGATAGAGAGTTAGTCATCCTATGAGCTAAAGTGCAAATTTATCATCAACTCTCATTTTATCCCTTCGATCTCTCACGATGTCGTGAACCGGCGGATTTATGACAGACTATTTGTAGTAGCTGTGGCTATTAGTCTTTTCGCTGTTTCACTCTTTATTTCCGTTCACGGGGTTTCAGATTTTGCTCTCTTTTTTTCATATTTCTTCTCCTTAGAACGTTTGTATTAATATTGAAGTTCCTTAATGTATTTTCAATAATTAGTTATCTCATTAACGGAATGAGTAGCATGACCACCGGGCAAACATACCACAATGAGAACTGGTGTCAAGCGCCCCCCTTCACCCTTTTGCCCCGGTATTAATACAATCCGAGTCTGGCGAGGTTTCCCATTCATAAAACCGAGCAGCGCATTCATGCCTCCATGCATTACTATTATATACAGTATGTAGAGCTTAGGCACTCGACATTTATCATCACATTGAGATAATCAATCCGAAAGCAATATATACTAAGATTAAAAAAAGTACGTCTTCATTTGTATGAATTCATACTTAAAATTTCCAAGAAGCCGATATCTGGGACTATTTTTTAAATCAATTTTTGATTTACATATCAAATACTCATGTGATCAGTATTGAACGAAAAATCCTTCTTTTAAACCCATCTTAATTCACGTTTACCAAGTATTAAAAAAAAATGACCGTTCGTCCCTATTTTCACAGTTTTCTGAAATCACCAAATGCAGTCAATTCTATCATAAGTGCGCCAGAAAATGTCTCTGAAACTCGATTTTTGGCCGAAAATATATAGAATACCTTGAGCCACAATGTGATTGCACAATTCGAGGTTTCTTATATATATATATATATAAATTTTCTGTGAATGAGAAATAATTATTTTCTGCTAAAACAACTTTTCTTTGAAATTACCAGACGGATTCTATTCCACAGTACCTATTGCGGAACTGTTCGAGAAATACTCGATTTTCAAGCTCTGGTGGTATTACATATCAATTATTTGGTATATTCGCATTCCGTTACTCAAAATGCCAACCCGAAAATGAAAAATATAATCAGATCTGTTTTTATATTTTTGCCGTTGTAGCTACGTATGCCAAGGAATGAAAAAATATTGTAAAAAAAAGATGAACATTACTTCAATCTGAGGAGCGGAGAGAAAGCGAAAGAGGAGACATAGACTTAGGTGATTAAAACTGCCGCAAAAATATTATCATGGGACAGTATCAGCAATTGATTGATTTCTCATAATTCTGTTTGCGAAACACCATTTCATGGGCGTTAAACCGAAAAAAATTATCCAATACATAGCAAAATAGTTATTATCGGCACCTACACTGAGAAAGAACAGGTTTTTGGGATTGTGTCTTCACTTGTATAGGGAAATTCACACTCAAAAATTTCCAAGAAAACGATATTGTGCACTGGGAGAAAAAAAATTCAGCCAAGAGATTTAGTACTTCTCCGAATAATAATGACCAGTGAATTGACAACAAGAAGGCGGCGGCTCTTCCAACCACGTTAAATAGTTATTATTTTGAAATTCTGTGGATTTGAGAAAAGTTGTAAGTAAATTTGTTTAGCTCGACTTCGGTTGCCCAATTCCATTTTTATTCTAAATACATCATCCTCATCTTTGAAATAAGTGTAAACTTTCTTCACGCAAGTCTTGTTTTTAAGATATGGTTTTTTGTAAATTTTTGCGGATGTGTTTCATAATACAAGAAAGACGATCTTCTTAAAAAAATCACTTTTCTCAGTGCAATTAATGAAATTCAGAAACCAAATCAGGAGTATTATGTTGTCAGGAATATATTCGCTGGTAGGCTCATCAATAAAAAATACGGAATTATTTCTATTTTTTTCGAAAATAAATATTGTCAAGTTTAGTTCAGATGTTTCGTAAATACATAAAACAACCATACCGGACAAATGTTACTGAACTGAGTATGTACAATGATAAAAAATTCCAAAATAAATATCATTCATCCACAGCTGAAAAATTACGTTAGCACGGAATCCAAAACTTTAGATTCAACAATATATTGTATATTTAGATATACAATTCTGTAATACGAAATACACTCTCTGCTGAAATTAACAAAACCATCATTTTGAAAAAAACGAATTCAATCCAGTAGCGTATGAGATAAAAACCAATTTTTTAAAATATATTTTTTATCCAAAACAATCAACATCTCAAGGTCCGCCAGGCCAATCGTATCCACCGATAAGCATATTATCAACTTTTCATCTCCTTCAAGTTAGCTGCATACAAACTTTCAACTGACTACGTTCTCCCCCATTTCTCAAGTTATCGCGTATACAATATTATTCACTAAAAACTAACAATGGCAATATCTTCAAATTTTGCAGAAATGAAGATATATCACTTGATTGCTTGTGATAGAAATTATAGAGACCCATATTTTAGTGCAAAAATAATTGAATCGGTGGAGCGAATCTCGAAATACCGAGGAAAAACTAAATTTAAAGAAGTTGTTATATCTTAAGAAATGCTGTACGGATCGGACTGAAAGTGCGCGTCAGAATGGAGTTCAATCATAGCTAAAATTGTGGAAAATTTTCAATTTTCGAATTTGACCAGGCTTATGTAGATTTTTCTTTTAATGGATTGCTAAAAATTTCAGTTTTCGGAGGCAGCCGCACAAACATGAAATCAGAAAATCCAAAAATGACTGAAATACGAGGCCTTTTCGAAGTAAAAATGGGACGAAAAAAGCAAAGAATAATTGCTTTACGAAAAACTTTTTTATTTAGGGTTATCTCTTTCCAAATATCAAACTTAGGGCAACTAACTTTCCACTGGAGGCAATTCATTTTTCCAGAACAATGATCCTGCTTTTAGAGTTTTAACAATATTCATTTAATATAAATATTCGTAGATCAATGCAAGCATACTCTCATAAAGGAAATCGTAGTTCTTGTGAGAATAACATTAAAAAATAAACGCGTCAAATGCAGATAAACGTTAAATTGAGGTGAAGTATCTTAGTTTCTCAATTAAAATGAACTTATTCGAATGACGTTTTTCAAAATTCTTCAATTTGCGGAAGGTTTGATAAGGCATCACTATAATGGTATATTTTTTTCTACTCCAGAAAGTGGAAACTAATCATTTCCGTGCACGTGATGGACGTAAGGGCAATCACGAGGAATGAGAAAAGAAGAAATTATGCAAAAGAGAATAGGAATGAAGCGCGAGGTATATTAAAGAATTTAATACATAAAAAACGACGTGTCAGTGAATTATTAAGAAAAAAATAAACCAGAAAAGTATATGGATGTAGCTGCTGCAGTTCTTGGGCACCACATCATCTTCAATATTTTAGAGATTAGTTCGTAGAAAGAATGATAGAATTGAGGTGGTGATGAACGAAGGCAATAATTCATAGAAATGATTGAAATGAGAAATCGGGGAACTCTTCCTTTTTTATTGAGATAAATTCAGCGATTTGGTATTACGATAGATGGGTCATCGACTTTGACCCACGTTTGACGCAATTACTCGACGATAAAGGGGGAGTATAGTTTCATTCAAATAGAATCCCACTCATCGCATTGCAACGCGTGAATTTCGTATATGATGCATCTCATTGTCCTTGTAAGAGGACGATTTCAGCATCGCACTGACAAAACGATAGAGATTACTTCCGCTGAGGTTGATGTGTCTTAATACTACTTCGGTCTAACTTGGCTGTCTCGCCAGAGGTAGAGGTAGAAAGAACAAAAAAGACATGGGAAGAAATATCACACGCTTAAATCATGTTAAAAAATACTCGTCTGCAGTAAGCACTCATTAAACGTAACGCGTACATACGTTTGTACATAATTTTTTCCTCGATTCCTTTGAGAAAAGATACCCAAAGCTTCCAGATATTTCGTCTTTGTGCATTAAAAAAAATTGACGACTACTGGGATTTAATTTTGATCTTGCTTCCTAGGATATCGTAATTATTCACGAGGCATTCTCCGAGGAAACAAACGGGATTAAGATTTCCAAATTTTTATTGTGACGATATTTTTACGTGTAAGCGTACGTATTTTTTTCCTTTACTCAATGTTTTCGCGAAAAATGATTTTATATGATTTTTTTTTCATTTTTTCTTTACAACAATGCATAAGTGCTCGAAAAAAAGACTAAATACGGCGATCTTTTTTAATTCTCCTTTTTAGATATATCCCCATTCAAAAATATGATAAACATAAGTATAATTCTTAAAATAATTAGTTTGACCTTTCAAGAAGGGTTCTTGTTGTGAAAGAATTCTCAAGAACGCAATCATTTAAAAAATAAGTTTTCCCGCTTTACGTGGAGTAGGAAAACAAATAATTCCTATTTTTCTAATTTTAATATTTTCATTACGAATTTCGTTACCCTCAGATAGTAAGATCATTGAAAACAGTCATTTCAGTTGATACGCAGATAAAAATATACAATCTATAATTAATATAAGGGGCATTATCCCAAAAAACGAACACTAATAAAATTTTGTAATTTGGAGTTAGCTGCGTTTTTTGTGAGTACTAGTAGGTAATGAGAGAAGCATTCAAATTATTTACTCCAATCGTTCTCGAAATATGAATTTCCTGAAATTTGGTTTTTTCGAAAATTCATAACTTCTCGGGAAATTGATTAAAAATAGTATATTGTGCATCAAGGACGAAAAGTCAGTGTTTTCCCGCCCCATGATTGAAGAAATGTCACAAATTCATGGCAGAAATCAACCATTCTTCGAAAAATTTTTCAAAAACACAAAACAGTGTACAGTAGCCTAAGTACCCTAAGGGGTTCAGGCCTGGACCAACTAATGACACTTGGCATGCCAATCGCCAAATTGGCCCATGACTTGGCGGTATTCTTAAATGAATC